CACATAATAAGGTATTAATTCTAAATTTATCTGTACTAAACTCATTATACATATACAATGAATGACGGCATTTTACTCTTTCTCTATCGACATTAATAACTCTTATGTACATGTTCTTATAATATCAAAAATAATTTTTGCCTCTTTCTTTTAATTTTAATTTTATTACTTGCTACTTGTTTTGTACCTTTATTTTTATTATTTACGACTTGATTTGAACTTTTCTTATTATTTTTATTTATTCCTGTCGTTAATTTATTATTACAATTTGTATTTGCTAACAGAAAAACATGTTCGTCCTGATGCACACAAACAGTTCGGAGGAATACATTGGTGTCAACTACAATCATTTATTTGGTTTTCTTTGAAGCGAGTTTTATATTTGATATTGCGTTCGAATTCGAATTTTATTTAATTTTTATATATTCTAGCTACGTAACATTTCTATTATCATCTTGTCGTCACATTGAAAATGATCCAACAGGAATCGAAACGTTTGTTTTTGTTCACTTGCTGACTATCAAATTATATTTTACGTTTTTTAATTTCATGACATGTTTTATTTCATTTTTTAACTGTTTAATGCAGATTGTTATTTTATATTGATTATATTGATTTAAGGCTCGTAGCCCTTTGTTCTTTTTATTTATTTAAATTTACTAGACTTTTTGGTTATTCCAACAGAATTCTGATAGATTTAACCAGAATTCTGATAGATTTAACCAGAATTCTGATAGATTTAACCAAAATTCTGGATCGTTCATCTTTCACCAGAATTCTAGTTAATTCAACCAAAAAAAAAAAAAAGATACTGAAAAGATGCTGAGAAATAAAATGTTCTTCCAGATCTTCATACTCGACAAATAAATTAAAAATCTGCACACAGTAAAAAAATTGTGTATTTATAATTGAAACGGTCCATTCACGTTCTATGTTAATAGTTTGTGTTGAATTTTTTAACACATTCGAGTGTTAATTTAACATAATGTGATCTGTTATTTAAAAATTTTGTGTGGATTGATATATTTAACATTTCTTATTGTCAAAACACATTGTGTCTTATTGACACAATTTATATAAGAAGAAAGATTATACGTTTCGCAGGTTTTCTCTGTGTCCAGATCCATTCTTGGAATGCCAACGTTTTGTAAACCTTCAAGCCCACTTCATCAGGAGCCTGATACAATGGGAGCAACTGATGATGACGCAATTTATAAATAAGCGAACAAGTAATATAAAAATAATGTGTTTTAAAACATGCCATCCAAGATAAATAAATAAAATACGTGTTAATTTAACGTATCATAAATATTAATTTTTTGAAAAAATATACTTGCACGATTTATTTACAAACCGTGACGATATTACCTTTTTTGTATTTATTCTTATATATTTGTGTAACCTTCTAATAGATTCATCTTGTATTAAATTAATCCAAAAATTCGAATGGATAACTTTTGCGATTATATTAAATTTTATTATATTATTATACGATTCATATTAAATTTGACACATTCTTTCATGTCGATGGATGATACGATGCAGGTAGAAAAGAAGAAGTTTCAAGAAAATTCTGAAAATTCCTGAAAAGATTCCCGAAGATTTACCTGGCAAAGGACTTTGACTCGAATTCAATACAATGAACTTCAGAAACATTTTATCATTTTCTATTTTTTCAACTGTACTTATTATAATAACAAGCAACTAATAATGCTGACATTATTAACAATATGTGAAATATCTACACATAATTCTAGACAGTCTTATAAATTTATTCCGATTCGATCTATTTTATTGCAAGTTACAAACAAATCAAATCGCACCGACCTCCAAAATGGAGGATAATAATGCAACAATCCTTGTGATTGAGAATCACTATTATTTGACATCAGGTCAAGATTTGATTCTATTACAAAGATTTTTGTGTTTGTGCCTCGGTCCTTATATACCTGGCCGATAAATTGATTTATTCGACATTCATTGTGAATTACAAACATCTGTCCTCCAGAATTTCATGGGAAGCTGTAAAACTGCTTGACGTCGAATAAGGAACACGGTTCTCAATTCGCTTTTTGCAAGCAGAAGATTTGGTCGAGCACAACGTGATCTAGTTAGGGCCGGAAGGGTGATTTATCAAGCGGCCGCATCATTACGTGCGAAAGGGATATGGCGATGCCACTGTGATTCGTCGTCCTTCCATCGGGAAGAAGAATACGTATTAATTTATATCTGCATGCGCAGCTGCTATTGTCATGTTAATCAGGTCTCCACGCATTAGCCGAGCTTTTCGGCAATGCGTGTATGCGACCATGCATGCGTGCTGCGTGCGTGTGGTCCGTTCTTCCCAATCGTACACGCACGAAAGTCGGGAGGCAGTAGGGATCTGGGAAACTCGGGCAGAAGGGCTTCGGCATTGGAGAGGAATGAAACTTGGCCCCAGGCCACTCCGCGACTTGACGGGCAAATTCGCGAATCTCTTCGATCGCGAACACGTGACTGATGCAATGTAGGAGACGATGTTAAATCGAAAAATCGGGGACGACACTTCCCATATAGTATACAAACATTGCAGAGACATTGCAGAATGATTTCACTGAAAGAATGCAATATTGCAATATTGGTGGTTGCGAAACGTTGCTGAATCATTGCTGCAAAATTCCAACAATGTCAAGATGTCCGCTTTTTGTTATAATGCAACAAAACGTTCCAGTAATATTGCAATGTAGTATATTTGGATAAATGTTTTCTAGTGATATGTGCTTTCCAAAAGCAATTTTTTATGATAGAATCATAGAATATTTCAATAAATATATTGGGTGGATCCATATATTCGTTCGGTTTTTGTTAGTAGTGCAAAAACGAAGAATCATATCATTGATTAAAATTCATTCTTTGTATGAAAAAAATTTGTTTCATTTTACCTTCAAAAACCGAACGAATATATGGATCCACCCAATAGTATTAACTCTGAAGGATAAATTTATTCGTAAGGATAAAACATATATGTGCCCTGAATAAATATTATCCATATTAACATAATAATACAATCTCTTGATAAGTTAATCATGAATTAAGTTAATTTCAGTGATTCTTTTTAATTCGAAATCACTCCAAGATATATATATATATATATATCTGAACTTAGAGTTATTTAGATCGCTATTTCAATTTTTGATCGAAGACACAATTGGCTCTTATTCTCCGTAAAACATCTTCGCTTTTCGACAATGATACCGCATCTCGGTTAATCAATTTGAATACTTGCGAGGTCGAACACTCGCGCTGCTTAATATCTAGCTTAACTAATGCAATAATCTAGGAAATGATGAATATACCCGCAGTGAGTATACTTACGTGCAGATATACTCTTCGTTGAAAAAATTATACCCGTATCTACGTCCTCGTGTGTGAACACCTCGGGATAAACATCTTATACCCTCATGAAGAGTCAGCAAGCAACACTGAGAGAAATGATTTTGTTATAGGAGCAAATCAAAGGAAAACAAATGTGATATTTGTTAAAAAACGATCGATTTGTTACGATTGCAAATTAATTCGTCAATGTAACAAATAATCAATAGTGCAACCTAGACGGTTGCAGGATCTCAAACCATAAGAAATAATACTAATTCTAGTCAAGTATTCTCCCTATATTTGATTGTGCTTGGTCGGTTTCCTACGACTTAAGATATTTCCTCGACTCCTACGATTTCTATGTAAACGAGTCTAAAATCTATTGATAAGATAGATTCTATATAATTTGCTTCTGTTACTAATAAGTGGTTGGTATAGCAGACTAGCAGCAATCACAACAACAAAATTTGTTGTCGCATATTTATCGATCACCGGTTAAAGGTACTGGAGGTTTGTTAAATTAACAAAATCCTTTCAGTTAACGGGATTCATGGTACGAGGATCAAGCTTTCCACGCCAGAGAGGGAAATACGATGGCATTATCGCCATGTAACACATTTTAACGCGTCCTGAAACCTCAAAGTCAGACCACTCGTATCCCTGTTCCATTTGCCATATTCATGCGTTACGTTACGTTACCACATTTGACTTGTCGGCTTCCAAATTCGTTCGCGTTCGAGGGGGTGGAAGGTGAGATATTCGCGGGAAGGGTTACGCCGAGGTTGTGTTTCGCCCCGGGGCCCGAAAAGTCGTTGATATTGAATCCGAGAGGTCGCTGAAATAAATCGTTAGCCCCCGAGATAGAGGGGGAGAAAGGAGCTTTCCGAGGGTCGCGATTGGTTGCTCGAGGGATGAAAGTATCCGCTTAGCTACGTTTTACGAGCTCTCTCAGTTTTTTTTTTTTACGAGTCCCGGAAAAGAAACCGAGTAGTTCGCAAATTGGAGCGTAATTCCGTGAAGGGGTATAAGCGAAACGCGAAGTAAGATCGATTCCATAAAAATTTCGTAAATCTATTGGATAGAGGAAAGGGATATTTTTATATTAATATTATATATTCTATTCGTAAATTAATTTGTGACATACGGACTTGTGATGGATTTTTCTAGTTAATTAATTACACAGTTGATGGATACTCTACCAAATATGCTTCTAATCAGGATATTTTTTTCGAATGGGATCTGCATCCGCGTTTCAGACCACGCAGATCCGTTTAGCGATGCACTCCGCGAAGTCCGCGAAGGAACATCATCCAGAACCACGTCTGGCGAGATATCACTCGGAACGAAAAAGAAGGAAGCTTCTCAAGCGAAGCACATCCCCTTCGCCGTTTTGCTCGCTCACGCGCTCGTTCGTTTGCAAGGGGTTGCGACGCGCGTGCGCAATTTCCAACCCCATTTGCCGACTCCTCCCCGTACTCCCCTGCCCGCACTCCTCGGCACCCCTCGTGACACACGTGCATCGGTCGGAACCCGCTCCATGAACCCCAACGAGATCATGCCGTTCTCTCCCTCCACGTATTCCTCTTTTGCCTTCCTCTCTCTCTCTCTCTCTCTCTCTCTCTCCCCGCCGATGGTGTTGTTCCTGCATGGGGTCGAGTCCTGGCGTTCCCGCCATGGCGGGTGGGACTACTGCCGACGAGTACCGAACGCGACCGAATCGCGGACAAGACGAGTGAAGAGAACGTAAAGGAATAGGCAGCTGTAAACGGACGAGCAAGCGAGCGAGTCCGGCGTGCGTACGGACAACACACAAAAGACTACTCACTACTACACTATTACTAATACTACTACTGTTACTATTAGTACTACCACAACCCTACCATTATCACTACCACCACCAAACGGAGAGAATTCACAGTGGCGGAAATACGTCGCACTCAGCACGAGATAGTCCGCCAAGCAAGCCAAAGGTAGACTCCTTAGATAGTTCGTTGGACCAATTTGGTCAACTCGGCTGTCCGGTGCGCGGTATGTTGTGTGTTCTATCTTGTTCAGCGGCAGCATATACGGTATGAGGGAGGTGTACGTTTCTGCATGAGTATGTGAGAGGGAGAGAAAGAGAGAGGGAGAGAATGAGATGGGAGGAGAGTGATCCTGGTGTGTTAGAAGTAGGAAATAAAGCGGCAAATGGTGGTGTGCGGAATGGTAGTCGACTATCCTGCGAAGGACAAAGAAAATATAGAAGGAAAAACAGTTTTAGGATTGGAGAAATCACGGACAATATGAATCATCGCAGTTACTGTTCAATTATTTGAAAATAAAAAAAGTAGAAAGTGAGATGTAAAAAGGAAGAATAAGAGTGAGTGTGCGTGCGACAACGCGGTTTTTCGAAACTAAAAGTATCGCGGCCGAATTTTTCATGATTATGAAAAGGCATAGACATTAAATTAAATTTTTTTCAAGTTGAGGTGCGATTGTGAAATGAATTGGAAACCACTTTGGACGGGGTATCGTATAATTTTTACCAAACAAAATTGGTTTGATATCTTTTGAAGAGCTCATCGGTTACATATTTCGAGATGGTCCAAGTACAAGCTATTCCTCTCAAAGTATCCCCGAAGCGCTAGTGGATCAGGGACCAACGTGGAAGCTGTGAATTCTGAATTTTCCCAACTCTAGTTTTCTCATGTTCAGAGCATCGCCATCACCAGCGAAACCACCACCACCTACCACCTATCGCATCACCGCCGCTCCCACTGCCAGTGGCATCGTACCAACCACCACTACCGCCGCCACCACCACCACCACCACTGTGTACCGCACAACCCGAGCACACAGGGCCAACAGGTTGTGCGCTCCCTTGGCTTTCATATAAATAGATACAGCTGGGATCATCCCTGGACCGACCGCGGGTCGCTCCGACTCTGTTCTCCCACTCTACACCGCTGTCGCCGCCGCCGCCGCCGCCGTCGCCGCCGCCGTCGACGCCTCCTGCGCTAGCCGGCGACGGTTCACGGTAGTGTCCTCGAACACGGCATGCACGTATCGTGCTGCGAAAGTTTTACGAGTCCCGCGGTGCGCCAAACGAGAAACGTGTTCGTGTGCCGACGCCGACGTCGGCGTCGCCGTCGAGACGTGTGAGAAACGGGACAACGACGACTAACGTTTCGATCCCCGAAAGAATCCGCTCCCTCCTAGGCTCGACTTAACGCACCGCAGCGCGTGTGTGGGAAACAGGTTCTTAGCGCATTACTCCGTTTCCGTCAGCGGATTTTACCCGCGCAAACGGGCCCCCGGCTTCTTGGTTTCCCGCAACGCGTGTCTCCCCGTGACTGTAACTTCTCGTTTTTTTTTTAATATAATTCTCTTTTGCATAAATCTTTATTTTCAATTTAAGTCTAGGTCCAACCTTGCTTCAAGAAGCCGTAAGCCTTAAAGCCTTAGAAAATTAACCAATCATAGTTGAATATCAGAGAAATAATCGATTGTGAGTGGTCAATTTTTGACGATTTTACGGCTTAGCCGTAAAGGAACATTCTTAAAGCAAGTTGTAAAGATCGTAGACTTATTGCGTCAAGTTGATCGTTGAATGTGTCGTACGTTACATTGCAGCCAAACGTAGTTTCCGAATTTGGATCGATATGTTTACGTTTACCGGAAAGAGTTCGCACGAAACGATCTCCGCGTGCTGTTCCGATGGCAACAAACGTCAAAATCATCTCAAGTGGAGCATTACGATCCTTCGTGGATAGTGGCAGCGAACAGTTTTTCATTTATGACAACTGTCAACGAAAGGCGAGAATAGAATTTTCCATTGTCAACGGTAACGATATCTTTGAATCAATCGATGCTATCAGCTCTTATAAATTAAAGCTCGTCTGTGCAGAATTTGCATACACAGTTCCCCAATAAACAAACTAACATTATTTGTTATGATAACTGCATTCAGCATAAAAAGCAACTTTTCAACTGTTGTAAAATTCTTTAATATGACTGGTCTTATTCATTAGACTTAAATGTATAAACTAATAAACATATTAAAGAATTCTTATAATTACAAGGATGCTTTTTCTTCTAAACGCAGCCATTTTGACGTCAAAATGACATCTTTAACATCATTTGATGTCAAAATGACGGCAAATAACGTCGTCATTTTGATAACATTGATTCTGATAACTGAAGAATATGTCAAGTACATCGAAGATATTCGATGTTCTAGAAGTGTTTCAGAATATCAATATGAAACCGAAGTTTAGTATAGCATAGTCACTATTAACGACATAGTCACTGATATATGGGACTTATAGTTTAACGCCGAATTTGAACGGCGCTGTGATCGGCGGTGATCAAAGATCTCTTCAGAATTATCAGATGAAGTTATTTTTGGCTTCTTAAATGCGAAAAAAATGCGTATGTGAGCACAGGTGGGATTGAACCCGGATCTACAGATCGCAAGCTACTCGATGACTTTGCTAGGTTATAATTAAAAACAAAAATACATAAGGGAAGTATGAGTCAGCGCGATATTTAGTGCGCAAGTATAATGATAAAAGTTTTATAATAATTAAATGATAAATAAATTGGCCAATTAGGACGAATCGGTGCTGTAAGTAGTGCGCTTAAGTGACTAAATTCATTATAGTCTAAATAATATATTTCAACAAATCAATAATGTACGTTTCGGCTAAATTCAAGCCTTCTTCAGCGAATACATTTTCGTGAGTTGTGTTTCATGATTAATATGTGCGTGGATTTCGTTGGCTAATCTCCTATACATTTTCTAAAAGTTTTATAGTCCATATCTGGTGATAAATATTTTAATATATGTATATCTTCGTACGCATTTCGACTTACTTCAAGTCATTATCAATGATTTAAACATATTAATCTATTTAAACATACTAATTCAATCTGTGCAAGATGTACAACAAACCTTCATAAAGTAAAGCAAATTGTTGTAATATGCAGACGAAATTGACAAAATTGACTGATAATTTATAGTGTACGTAACGTAAACTATAACATTTTTAGCGTTGGCAATAAATTTGGAACAGTGTCAGTATCGTTATATTATCGTTGTATTATATATTAAAATATGTTGCATAACGATAACGTAACAAAAACAAAATATTGTTAAGAGTTAGAGCCATACACGAAAACATTTAAGCAATAAAACGCTTCATATAAGCACACTGAAAAGGGTCTAGTTGTAGCCATTAAATATTGTGTGAAATAATTTTAACTACAGAGTGTATCCACAGGAAGATGTTGAAATTAATTAGCTGATACATTCAATTATTAGAAAAACAAAAATTGCATTAAAAAGAAGAAAGTCGGTTTTTTAATGGATATAAATAAAATTTAACAAAATATATTGTATGTGTTATAAGTTTTGTATGTAATTTTATTGATGAACAATGTATTATAATAATCCAAAAGATTAATATTTTCGAAGTATGCATCATTTAAATTAGTACAAAACTCAATTTTTTTAACGAAAACTTATAAAAAACTTTTTTCAATATGTTGTTTTTAGTATTACTGACAACCTTTTTAATAGCTACTATTAAATTTTGACATTGTTTTTTTATCGTGTTAATTATCGGTCTTGGATATTAATCATTAACTTAATTGATTATCAGCACATTTTTCATCAATAAAGTAAACTAATATACAAACATTTTGTTAAATATTATTTATACTCATTAAAAATTATAGATTTTCTTTTCAGTGCAAGTTTTGTGTTTTTTTTTAATACTGAATACATTCAAAATTGATACTGATGAATTTCAATACTTCCCTGTGGGATCACTCTGTAAATATTGAGATAATATAGCTAAACATAATTTTGTCTTTACAAATATTTGGTAAGTACTACGGTTAGTAATACCATTTGATAATATTTACTAAATATTTGTAAAATTATGTTTAATTATATTACCTCAACATTTAGTTGAAATTATTTCACTAAATATTTGGTAGCTATAATTGGATTCTTTTTTCAATACAATAAGTGAATTGGTCAAACACAGTAAAGACTGTAAAGCATAATGTAGCAATCCAACATGTTGATTTTCTTACTGCTTATGTCTTATTGTTCAAATTTTTCTGTATATTATGGCCAAAGCATTAACTGTTACCCATAATGCATAAAGTATAAGAAAATTAATTAATCAGGGCCTTTTATTTTATGGAAAGGAAGAAAATGAAGTAGTCTGGCTCATTTTCTTATGTATTGTACGTTATGCAAAACTTTGCCTCTCGCTCTTAGTCCCGAAACATAATAGAAGTAGTAAGCTTCAAACTGTACAATATTACCCACCAGTCACAGTCGAATAATCACAGTGAGAAGAATAATCACTTATGATTGATTAATATTGATTTCTTTGACAGATTGAAACTGACTTGCTATATCTATTGTATTTTGGGATAACAGGTACCTAAGACTATCATGATATGTAGTTCTTTTTCTTCCATATGAAAAGAAAGAGATTTTGTTTGTTCGGTGGATAAAATGAAGAAGGAATAGATTGAACGTTGAAAGATTTAATTTTTCAAGTAACATTTTATTCTAGTTATTATTCCAGAAATACAATAATCATAATAACGACCAATAATCGAGCAAAGGAATTAGATATATAATTAATAAATATATTATATAATATATATATATATATATATAATATATACACATTTAAGTATAAAAACTTCAGTACATTTGACATTGCATCGAATATCATTTTGTGTTGACAACCGTTATTCGAATCACAATTTTGTAAACATCTCGATGCGCTCGCTTACCAATTTCATGTAAGTTAGTTAATAGAAATTTAATTTATACAATAACATAATTTATCATTTAGTAAATCTGGCAATTTAATGATACATAAAATAAAGATTAAGGCGGCGTAGCCAACATTATCAGGCTCAATTCAAACAATAATTCGAATAAAATCATTACAACTGATTATAACACGCGCTTTATAAGAATCTCTCGTATATTATTTGTAAATTTATTTTATTTGTTGCAAGATAGGATAAGTTAACTTTTTTTTTAACTAAGTTAAGTTAAAGTTAACAGCCTTGAAAATTTAACTTAATTAATTAAAATACAAGTTAATCTATAATATAATAAAATTAATTGAATTAAAAGTTAAGTTAATAAAAAAAGCAATTAAAAAGTTAAAAATTAAATTCGGTTTGAGGGAACAACCAAAAAAAAAAAGAAAAAGTTTGACTATTTTACATATTTTTCCATAGTTTTCCTTTCTCTCACAGCTTATTTATTAAAGAATCTGGTTATTTTTGTTTATAAGAAACAATTATACAATATAAAATTACTAAATTATATATATACTCATTAGCCTCTCGCATTGTATCTAAGGATTGACTTCAAAAAAATCAAATTAAAAGTTAATAATTACCGATAAAATGTAACTAAATTAAGTTAAAAAGTTGAGAATCTAAAATGTAATTAAGTTAAATTAAAATTAATTAATTTTTTAACTTTTTAACTTAACCTTTATCTTTTTAACTTAACTCAACTCTGATTTATTGTAATTTATTGTACTGAAGAGGATCTAAAATGTAGAGGTCGAATCGTATGCCGTGGATTAAAACATAAATTGTCACACGTTAATAAACTGTGTGTCGGCTCGATTAAAGGCATTACCATATTTATATAAAAGTTTCGTAAACGTTTCAACTCACAGAGTCTTCCTCAATACAATATTATTCCAATCTCATCTTTCACACTTTTTAATCTATTTTATCATAAAATAATAAAATATTATACATTGTTCTTTTTTTTTTATTGTCATAAGAGACAAAGTATTAATTTTTTGATATTAATTAAAAAAAAAGAGAGAGAGAAAAAGAAGCACGCGATTCCATGGCAGTTTTCAGTTGCCTTCTATTTAATCGCGTAATATTTTTTTACGCAGCACTCTTTTTCCAAAGCCTATGCGTGGGCTCGGACGTCGTTGCGCGCATTAATCCGTGGTTTAGCGAACCAAT